AGTCCATTTACTCATTTGGCAGACACTGGCGCACACATACAAACTTAACCTCGCACATATGTACATACATACCGTTAACATGTTGATAACATGTTGATAACATGTTCCTTCATTATTTTGAGTAAATCCCACATACACCATTCCTGGCTCCTGTGAATATTCACTTGAGCATCAATATATCAAGTATGTTAATTCACTGCTGAAAATTGTCACCACCAAAAACACTGTATACTCCTGTTCTTTGCTATACTCACGCATATATATGTGTGACACTGTCTGAGGAAGCAAAATCCATCGCACTTACTTTTACTCATCAGTATTTACTAATCAGTAATAACTTTATTAGCTGGCTTGCAATGTCTTGTGTTGTTGCCCTTGCTTGATGTTTGGCTGTGTTAGCAGTGTTATCGAAATCAGCCATAGGTTTCACAAACAGAGATTTAGCCGCTAGCTATAAATCTCGAGTTGAAACTTACTAGATACTAGGACATCGGTAACGTTTCTGTATGTGGTCTTTGCATAACCGGGCTCAGCTGCCTCTATGGACATAACGTTAGCTAATGGCAGAGGCGAATAGACAGAAGTGGACATTCACAGAGGAAGCTAAGAAGCGATTAGGGAGAGCTTCATGAAATAAAAGGCTGCAAGACAGATGGCGAACTGGCAGTCTTTGTGTTGGACTACAAATTAATATTGTTATGTCTTGTGTTGTCGCACTTGCTTGATGTTTGGCCATGTTAGCAAAGTTGGAGAGTTTTTGTTTTTGATCATTTTGCACCAAATGACAAATGCACGTGTACAGCTGTCCTTATTTACAAAAGTGCATTACAATCTGAAGCTGTAGGGATGCTGAATCGCACAAGAAAACACATCTTACATAATAATGTGACTGTCCTGTACTACAAAGAATAATATTATGACAATGTATTGATTGACGTGTGATAGATATATACAGTATAGACATACACATGTGTGAGTTTAAATTTAATGTATTTTTTTCTTTTGTTTATTTAGTCAGCAAGATACTCCATGGGTAAGGACATGTGCTACTACCATTGTTCTTTGTTTTTACTACAACTAAACAACTAATGTTTCAATAAATATTAGTGTAAGTTGGTTTATACTTACTATAAATGACTCTCATTGCTCCCCTTGTTGTGTCGAATCTTCTCTACATTCACCAGGATTATGGGTGGGGACCACGGTGTCCAAGAGCAGGAAGAGCAGCTGGACAAACGTTCAACCGATTACAACTCAGGGCGGCCTGGTTTTTCCTAGACTAAAGCGGCCACTGCGAAGGATGCTTTGAATGAAAAGAAATGCTTCTTGTTCACCACTTAATATATATATTGCACTGCAGCTAACTGATTGAAATTGTTTGGGCTATTTAATGGTGACAAAACTAGTTTTACTTTTAACTCTTATTTCAACAACAAACAACAGCAACAAAGTAAATAAGTGACAATAAATAGAGCTGCTGCAGGGTTCCCATTTTCAAACGTGTCAGCCAGAGAAGAGTCAGCTGACATGTCAGGTGTTTTGTTAATAAAGGGTTTTCATGATACAAAGACTAAGAAAACAACTTCAACCTTGGATCATTAAATAAAAAAGTAAGTCACATGTATTTGAGAGTATAATGGTGCCTGACAACCCCTAAACAATAATGTGTACAGCTCTACACTTATGTAGCTAGAGTTTGCAATAGCTTCACTTACGGATATTTACAAGCTTCCTCATAGCTGTAAATCCTGGAGGTCTGGGTAAAGCTTAAAATATTAGCATGATGTGCTAGAAACTTTAAACCATGGGTAGTTTCAAAGCCTAAACCCAGTATGATGCAACTCAACAGTGTTCATATTAGACATTAGAAGATACCAAGACAGGAGACCCCTGACAACATAGCGGCTAAATGAACTTGTGAGATGAAGGGAGGTCAAGGCCCCAACTGCTGCTGCGATTGATGACCCTGTTGGTGAGCATACCAAATTAGCGAGCTCTAACTATAATTACTAACTTCCCCTTGATTTTTCAGAACACTGGCATGCACCTGCCACGTTCCTTGTTTAGATTAGATCAGCATTTTAACACTGCATTGCAAAATGCTGTGTTTTACCTTCCTATATTGCAAAACACTATGTACACAATGAGAAATGTGTCCATTGGTATAAAAAAGACATGTATCTGCCACCACACACAGATCTATGCCACACCGCTTCCTTAGGTTTGTTTGACAGCAACCTTTTGACTCTTCACTGAATCAAAAATAGGTAAGGACAAAATCTTTAATCCTCATTCACTAACAGTATAAGCAAAACAGTAAGAGATCAATCAAATTTGCTACAGTATATATAATGTGTCTTTCAAGCTTGCATAACCAGTAAATAAAAATAACTGTACACTTCGTTTTTAAAAGTTATTGACTCTGGAAAGTCATTTGGTTCTTATTTTATAGGATGAAGTGCATCACGCTCTTTCTTGTGTTGTCGCTGGTCGTCCTCATGGCTGAACCTGGGGAGGGTTTTATTCACCACATTTTCAACGGAATTTCCAATGGTACTAATCATGAATTCTCTTTTCACAGCAGACATTTTGACATGACTGAGCTAGAAATGCACAGGTGTAACTAATAATATAAAGACCTGTCACTATTCACAATAAGATGGTGCTTGACCTGGCACACCTAAACACAAGGCAGCCATTACTGAGATCATTGATTACAATTACTTCAAAGAGGATTATGAATTATTAATTAATTAAAAACATCCAAGTTCTTAACTTATATGAGAGGAAAATATTTTCTTATTTGAGATTTTTATATGTACTTAACATATTTAATTATATTACATTATGCATTCTGCACTTCCACATTTTTTTAATATTTTTATCAACACCACCAGTTGTTGTTATCATACAGATTACTGATTTATATATTGAATTATACAGCACAATGTATTTAGTATGTGTATGATATTAAAAAATTTCCATGTCCAAGCACTGCAGAAAACCATGTTTGACTGTTGTTGACTGTACTCTGCTGTAAAGACTTTTATAAAATACATGAAGCGTGAGTTAAGACTTAATGTAACTGTTTTCTTCTTTTGTCTGTTTTATTCAGTCGGGAGGATGATCCATGGGTAAGAACATCTGCTTCTACTACTGTTACTATTCCTACATACACTTAAATTACTACAAAAGATATTAAAATGTATATAACTTGGCCACACATAGCCCCTTTATTAAATGTATATGGGCTAAATCCTCTCAATTCTTTCTCCCTCCACCAGGATTGTCACCGGGAGACGCGGCATGAGAGAGCAGCAAGAGCTAGACAGACAAGAGCAGGCAGCTTTCAACTAGACTTCATGAATCTGTGAGGGTTCACCTGAAGGAGCCACTCAAAGCAATGTTTAAGATGAAAAGAAATGCTTTTTTTGTCGTGTTGACCTTTTTGATTTTGTATTGATTTTGAAATGTTTTGGGTCAATGCTGAAATAAATTAACTGCCCCTGTGATACTTTATTAATTTTGGACAATTGGGAATTAATTAATAAAATATGCATTATAAAAACTAAAAATTCCTCTGCTGTCTTTATTTGACTGTGTTGATAAACACATTAAGATTAAGTATTCTGGTTTATGTAAAGAAAAAAATAATCTACTTGTGTCTGCCTTCTTCATCTAATGTACTACTGTACATGTACAGAAACTGCCCGTGGAGCAGAAGGGCAAACGCTAGCTTGATCTTCATTTTTAGTATGAATAGAAAAATTACAATCAAAATATGAAAGAGATAGAATAAATACTATTACAACAAATAAGTAATATGAAATAAAAGTAATAGGCTAATTATTATAACATTTAATATTTAATGTTGATCAATGGTTGTCACCTTTTGATATTAAACTTTAGGGATATATATGCATTATTTAGTTACATATGGATTCTGTAAACATAAGCTGCTTTTATGATAGGTCTTTTGCATGGGTTAACGTTTTTTTTTTTGCATGTTTGCAATACCTTTTCAATTCAATTCAGATTAGCTTTATTGGCATGAATGTGTAACAACAATATTGCCAAAGCATCATACAAACTACATCAGAACAATCAACATCATACATTTCATTAAACAAGTAATTAAAGCGTAAAGTAATCAAAGCCTATGTGTGTTTTTGTTAAAAATATATATATATATTAAAAATTAAAATAAAATACAATAATAACTTCACTGGTCCACTTTGCAAGACAAATGCAAACAAGTCGTGGTATGATCTGTGATAAGACGTCTGATGCAGAGGTTCTTCCTCGAAATGCTTGCATTAGTGAATGATTTAATACCAGCTACAAGACGTTCATATGCGTGACCCTCTGATGTCTGCTGATAGCCTATGTGCTGACCAAAACCAATGATAACCTGAGGATGCTACATGATGATATCCAGGTAGGATTTTCCCGAGCAGATTGTATGACCAATAATTCAACCACATTTCCACAACATAGCTTTTATTTGCACCATTTCAGTTTTTGCCTTTGTGAACACATTGGTCCAGTAGGAAAACTGAAATAATATATCATCCTCGCACTAGTTTGATTCAGGAACTGGGCCTTCAGTTGTGAACCCGCCCTAAAAGTCAGAACTGAAAACTACATATGGACCTTCCAATTAGAAAACATGTTGTAGTAGCCCTGTATCTTCAGACGCACATAAGCGTTTTGTTATGTTGTTTCATATCAGTCCTACATCCATCAATCACTAATCTCCTTCAACCTTGCATCCCTGAATGCAGAGCCTAGAAATGCTGCAATGTAACTTGTACACAGAACTCAAATGGGCATTAAATCAGTGTGATTTAAAAGATAACAGAAATGTGCCATCTCTTTTGGAATCCTGGTCTAAGACACTGACAATTGGTTGATAATGAGTGGGATGACTTCAGTTTCTTTGCTAATATTAGATCAGCATCTGTATCTCTGTAATGAGACTTTCTATGTAGCAAAATACTGCACAAACAATGAGTAAGGAATTTACTGATTGCTATAAAACGAGATGTGTGTGATCCAACACAGAGAGTTACAGGACCTGTAGATCTCATACTACTTTCTTGGCTCTCTTTGATAACATCTTTTTGACTTTCACCCTTAGTCAGTGGAAAGAAGTAAGTATCTCATCTTGATTTATCTGCAACACAAGTGTTGCACATTTGCTGAGAATTGCTAGTGTCTATTTTATAATTAGAAACTGGTATTACAAACTAGTAACTGACTCTGTGTGTGTTTGGATGTGGTTTTTCAGGATGAAGTGCATTACGCTCTTTCTTATTTTGTCACTGGTCATCCCCATGGCTGAACCTAGGAGAGGTTTTGTTCGCCACTTTTACAAAACACTGTCTCATGGTAACCACTCACAGAATTTTTGCATTTTTCACATACATTTCAACAGGACATAACTGGAAATGCACAGGTGTACATACAATAACATTAATAATGACTTATGAATAAATAAATAAATGGAATTGGATATAGATGCATGTACATATGTAATATGTAATATGTAATGTGTACATATAGCTAACCTGAACCTTAATACATTTAGGTTTAATTATTCATTATCATCATGATTTTGCTTATTTTAAACTGTATTTGATAAGATTTTAGAAGCTTGGATTTTTTCATTAAATATACAAACGTGTTTTGATGTTGTCAATGTTCAGAATGGGATAAACACTATGTCCAAGTTTACACAATAATTTAATGAATGTAAATAAGGTCTTAAATTGTGTTAATAATAATTCCATACAAGAGTTTTCCCTTCTGTGAGGTATAACATAATGTGAGTAATATAATTATAATTATAATAATTATAAATAGTACTATAATTATTTTAACCTGTTTTTTTTTTGATTTTCTCTTGTCTGTTTTATTTAGGCGGAAAGTTTATCCGTGGGTAAGTACTTGTCCTTGACAATACTTGACTTTAATAATTTCTGTGTGTTGTTATGTTCTGGAGCTAAATTCTCTCAATTCTCTCTCCACCCACCAGGGCTGTCAAATATGTCAAGAAACTTGGCGTGAATGAGCAACAAGATCTGGTCAAACGTTCATTTAATCAAGAGCAGGCAGCTTTTGATTAGACCTTCTGAATCTATGATGGTCCCTCTGAAAGAGCCGCTGTACAACTTTGTTTTAGATGAAAATAAATGCTTCTTGCTTTTCAACATAAAAAAGTACCGACTCATTGCTTCAATATATTGACCGAATTGATCTTGGACATTTGGAATAAATCTGCTTTTCTGCAAATCTGATGTGATACATCAAAACATTTCTCCCTTGTTTCATTTAAGACAAAATATTAATCACTGAACTGGATGTAAATTGTGTGTTGAGGCCTTAACCCATTTAAACACCTATGAGAGATATTTAGGTAGATTTTTTCTCTCTTTAATTTGTCACAAATCTTGTTTAAGGTAGTTTTTTTAGCATTTTGTTACTACATGCTGAAAAGGAATACTAAAATACAGCATATCAAAATTTGTAGTAATGTGTATGTAGTATTTACATTCACTTATTCAAGGAGAAAATAAAACCAATAAATGGAGTGGAGATGGACATTTTGAAGGCAGACTAACAGGTCTTTGAGAGTCAGAATTCTAGCTGATAGACAGGTGTTCAAATACTTATTTGCAGCTGTATCATACAAATAAATAGTTAAAAAATCATACATTGTGATTTCTGGATTTTTTTTTTAGATTATGTCTCTCACAGTGGACATGCACCTACGATGACAATTTCAGACCCCTCCATGATTTCTAAGTGGGAGAACTTATATATATATATATATACTGTAAATAGCAGGGTGTTCAAATACTTATTTTCCTCACTGTAGGTATGTAGGACAGGTAACATCATTTCATCAGTTTTTGGGAAAGTTACATAGAACTATAGAAATGCATATAGTGCTTTTTTCATTGTGTGTAATTCTGCAGCTGGGGCTGTAAGGTGCCTATTACAGGCTAGCATGTACATGTTTGCAGCCTCGCAAACACAGGTGAATATTGCTTATCATTTCATTGTTTTAATATTTTATCACATGTATGCAACTTTAAACTGCATTTGTATATTACAACTTGAGCTAGAGTTACTAATATACTCATTACTGTAGTCGAGGTATGTCAACAATAAGGGGGCCTCAGAGACCAAAGATTTGCAGCAGTTGTATCTGCCCCAGGAGCTGTAATATGATCCACGTGACTAAAACTCATCATAAAAGCAGATCGGTTATGTATTAAAGAAATCACTGAATGTGTAATGGCCTCTATCTTTGGGGCATACACATTCAGTCAGGGAAATACCTATGAAAATGACCTATGAAATCATGAAAATAAAACTTATATTTGTCAAACACAAGAAGCCTGAACAAGGATCTCCCATGTTTCTGACCAATGTAACTCAAGGACAAATGGTATAAACATTACATATGCATTTGGTTTCAGTAGTCAAAGGGCGAAAAAGTTAATAGATTTATAAGTCAGGACCGTGAACTGTGGCACCACCTATATAAATTTACTTTACTTTAATTCATTTTTAAACACAAAATAGACAGACCCAGGTTTCTATTCAATTAATTGAGTGGGTTAACAAAACATACCACCAAGAAGAAACATTTTAAACACAAGCCACTAGATGTCAAACAGTGATCATGTGCACACACCAAGACATGCAATACGCCCAGTCCAAAGTAGTGTGTGACATAACACCAATGCAATAAGGGTCCAAAGACAAATATAAGTATTTGGTCCCTGTTGTTTAGATATTTTTAGTTAAGTTATACTCAGGGAAATTACTTATGATTAGGGAATAGCTTGGGGAAAGTTGTCCTTCGCACTCGACCAACCCTATTTAGGAGCATTTAGAAGCCACATTAATGTGGCTGTCTGGGGAGATGAAAAGATGAAAAGAAATACTTTTTTTGATTTTGAAATGTTTTAGGTCAATACTGAAATAAATTAACTGCCTCTGTGATACTTGATTAATTTTGGACAATTGGGAATTAATTAATAAAATATGCATTATAAAAACTAAACATTCCTCTGCTGTCTTTATTTGACTGTTTTGATAAATACAATTTTAACATTGAGTATTCTGGTTTATGGGGATGGCAGTGGAGCAATGGATAAGACTATGCCTTTGATGTGAGAGACCCGAGTTCAATCGCCCACTTTGACCCATCCAACATTGTGTCCCTGAGCAAGACACTTAACCCCTAGTTGCTCCAGAAGCATGCAACCTCTGACATATATAGCAATTGTAAGTCGCTTTGGATAAAAGCGTTAGCTAAATGAATAAATGTAAATAAAGACACAAGTAGATAATTTCTACTTGTGTCTGCCTTCTAACAACTACAATATTTGCTGTCTTGTATGTTGTATCTTATGTAGTACTGTACATGTATAAGTGAGTTTTTAACCTGTTATTTTATTAGTATATTTGTAACACAAAAACAAAAAAGATCTTCTGCATAGTTCTTGGGTTTGTGAGTACAATAGAAAGCATGATCATAAATGATTATAACAACCAAAATGTCAAAAGGCTTTAACAACTTTTCTTTTCCATGGGAACAATCATCCGTAAAACTGCACTTTAAGGTTACCCAACGAAGGTTAAAGTCAAGGGCAACTGGACTTGGTTGAAGATACTGGAAGATGTTTCGTCCCTCATCCAAAGAACTTCTTCAGTTCTGACTGACTGGCAGGGAAACTCAGCTATTTAACCTCAGTGGGGTCGTTTGCCAGGGTCATCGATACTGCTGGTTCGTTAGTGTTCCTGGTTGCTGTAACAACAGTCGCTACAGTCGTTAGGACTCCCGGTGGCCAAGACTGAACGACCATCGCTGGTATCTTCACCTGAAGCCAATTGGTTACGTTTGTTGAGTTTGAGGACCACCAGGTGCACATTTTAGACAGAGAAGATGGATGGTTTGAAAGAGGGGTCAAGAAAGCCATCTACACCCGGGTCGAGAAGCCGTCATTGAACAGAGGAGGGGGTCTACGCCACTACTTATCCCCCACTTACAATGCTGTCCTTTCATCACTTCCTAGGAAACTCAACAAACGTAACCTATTGGCCTCAGGTGAGTCGTGCTCATGGCTGAACCTGGAGGAGGCTTTCTTGGAACGCTTCTCCATGGAGCTGTTCACGGTATATATACAGTAGCTACTCAGTGACCTGACACTTTTTATTTAAAAAAACTGTTAAAAACTATGAGAACTCACCTAGGCCAAAACTGAATACTTCGCTTGCACATACATACATATGCATGCTTGGACATACATATTGTCATTCGTAAGTATGTATGTATGTATGTATGTATGCGTGAGGTGAGTATGTATGTGTGAGTTAGAGTAGAGCCTTTGGTGTGGAAGACCCAGGTTTGATTTCCACTGACTGCCAGTGTCATTGCTCTTCATGCAGCAGGTCCGGGCATTATGGGGACATGAAAACTTTATTTGTTGTTCTTATGCTAAGAACATGTTCCTTCATTATTTTGAGCAAATCCCACATACACTATTCCTGTGAATATTCACTTGAGCATCAATATATCAAGTATGTTAATTTGCTGCTGAAAATTGTCACCACCAAAAATACTGTATACTCCTGTTCTTTGCTATACTCACGCATATATATGTGTGACACTTTTTAAAGATTTCTTCAGTAGAAACCATTGGGCTTTGGGCTGAGAGCCACAAACGAGGCAGAGAAGTCAAAAAGTACTGATAGATGGACTAATGCTTTGTTTGTTTTGGTCACGGGATAAGTTGTCCAAAACATTGAATAAAACCAGCCTCAGCCTGTAAAAATATTGTGCACATGTTGAATGTATCTGCGCCATTTCAACACTACTTACTTAAGTATGCATGACACAATATCAATGTTTATCATCTTGAACATACAATGCATTCATATTAAATCAAAAAGACTACACAATGTTGCTTTTTCTTAAAATAACAGCTTCAAAATAATTAATTGTACACTAACTTTTAAGAGTATAAATGGCATCACTTCCGCTCTGGGCCAGGGAAGCTTGCTATGACAATATGTAAGATTGAAATCCCGGGCAGGTTTTCTATCTAACAGTGTAATGCTTTATGGCACCACAACACATCAAGAAAAATCTTTAGCTAGCAAGCTCTGAGAAAAGGTAAAAAAAGTATAGAATGTACGTTGTCTGAGGAAGCAAGGAAGAGAAAAAGAGAGAGTGAACAAACAAAAATCCATTGCACTGACTTTTACTCATCAGTACTTACTAATCAGTAATAACTTATTAGCTGGCTTGCAATGTCTTGTGTTGTTGCCCTTGCTTGATGTTTGGCTGTGTTAGCAGTGTTATCGAAATCAGCCATAGGTTTCACAAACAGAGATTTAGCCGCTAGCTATAAATCTCGAGTTGAAACTTACTAGATACTAGGACATCGGTAACGTTTCTGTATGTGGTCTTTGCATAACCGGGCTCAGCAGCCTCTATGGACATAATGTTAGCTAATGGCAGAGGCGAATAGACAGAAGTGGACATTCACGGAGGAAGTTAAGAAGAGAAAAACAGAGTGACCAAGCAAGAGGCTGCCAGCCATTGGGGAGAGCTTCATGAAATAAAAGGCAGCAAGACAGATGGCGAACTGGCAGTCTTTGTGTTGGTCTACAAATTAATATTGTTATGTCTTGTGTTGTCGCACTTGCTTGATGTTTGGCCATGTTAGCAAAGTTGGAGAGTTTTTGTTTTTGATCATTTTGCACCAAATGACAAATGCACATGTACAGCTGTCCTTATTTACAAAAGTGCATTACAATCTGAAGCTGTAGGGATGCTGAATCGCACAAGAAAACACATCTTACATAATAATGTGACTGTCCTGTACTATAATATTATGACAATGTATTGATTGACGTGTGATAGATATATACAGTATAGACATACACATGTGTGAGTTTAAATTTAATGTATTTTTTTCTTTTGTTTGTTTTATTTAGTCAGCAAGATACTCCATGGGTAAGGACATGTGCTACTACCATTGTTCCTTGTTTTTACTACAACTAAACAACTAACGTTTCAATAAATATTAGTGTAAGTTGGTTTATACTTACTATAAATGACCCTTGTTGTGTCGAATCTTCTCTACATTCACCAGGATTATGGGTGGGGACCACGGTGTCCAAGAGCAGGAAGAGCAGCTGGACAAACGTTCAACCGATTACAACTCAGGGCGGCCTGGTTTTTCCTAGACTAAAGGGGCCATTGCGAAGGATGCTTTGAATGAAAAGAAATGCTTCTTGTTCACCACTTATATATATATTGCACTGCAGCTAACTGATTGAAATTGTTTGGGAATAAATTTGCATTGGAGTGTTTCACTGTGTCTTATTTGAAAAAGATATTTAATGGTGGCAAAACAAGTTTTACTTTTAACTCTTATTTCATATTAAATATAATATGATCAAACATTTTGTAATAGTATTATTAGTTATAATCACATCTGATAAATCTGAGATGGTTCTCATTTTCAAACGTGTCAGCCAGAGAAGATTCAGCTGATGTCATATGTTTTGTTGATACATTTTAAAAGGATATTCATGATACGGGGACTAAGAAAACAACTTCAGCCTTGTATCATTACAGTCACATGTATTTGAGAGTATAACGGTGCCTGACAAACCCTAAACAATAATGTGCACAGCTCTACACTTATGTAGCTAGAGTTTGCAATAGCTTCACTTACGGATATTTACAAGCTTCCTCATAGCTGTAAATCCTGGAGGTCTGGGTAAAGCTTAAAACATTAGCATGATGTGCTAGAAACTTTAAACCATGGGAAGTTTCAAAGCCTAAACCCAGTATGATGCAACTCAACAGTGTTCATATTAGACATTAGAAGATACCAAGACAGGAGACCCCTGACAACATAGCGGCTAAATGAACTTGTGAGATGAAGGGAGGTCAAGGCCCCAACTGCTGCTGCGATTGATGACCCTGTTGGTGAGCATACCAAATTAGCGAGCTCTAACTATAATTACTAACTTCCCCTTGATTTTTCAGAACACTGACATGCACCTGCCACGTTCCTTGTTTAGATCAGATCAGCATTTTAACACTGCATTGCAAAATGCTGTGTTTTACCTTCCTATATTGCAAAACACTATGTACACAATGAGAAATGTGTCCATTGGTATAAAAAAGACATGTATCTGCCACCACACACAGATCTATGTCACACCGCTCGCTTGGTTTGTTTGACAGCAACCTTTTGACTCTTCACTGAATCAAAAATAGGTAAGGACAAAATCTTTAATCCTCATTCACTAACAGTATAAGCAAAACAGTAAGAGATCAATCAAATTTGCTACAGTATATATAATGTGTCTTTCAAGCTTGCATAACCAGTAAAGAAAAATAACTGTACGCTTCGTTTTTAAAAGTCATTGACTCTGGAATGTCATTTGGTTCTTGTTTTTCAGGATGAAGTGCATCACGCTCTTTCTTGTGTTGTCGCTGGTCGTCCTCATGGCTGAACCTGGGGAGGGTTTTATTCACCACATTTTCAACGGAATTGCCAATGGTACTAATCATGAATTCTCTTTTCACAGCAGACATTTTGACATGACTGAGCTAGAAATGCACAGGTGTAACTAATAATATAAAGACCTGTCACTATTCACAATAAGATGGTGCTTGACCTGGCACACCTAAACACAAGGCAGCCATTACTGAGATCATTGATTACAATTACTTCAAAGAGGATTATGAATTATTAATTAATCAAAAACATCCAAGTTCTTAACTTATATGAGAGGAAAATATTTTCTTATTTGAGATTTTTATATGTACTTAACATATTTAATTATATTACATTATGCATTCTGCACTTCCACATTTTTTAAATATTTTTATCAACACCACCAGTTGTTGTTATCATACAGATTACTGATTTATATATTGAATTATACAGCACAATGTATTTAGTATGTGTATGATATTAAAAAATTTCCATGTCCAAGCACTGCAGAAAACCATGTTTGACTGTTGTTGACTGTACTCTGCTGTAAAGTCTTTTATAAAATACATGAAGCGTGAGTTAAGACTTAATGTAACTGTTTTCTTCTTTTGTCTGTTTTATTCAGTCGGGAGGATGATCCATGGGTAAGAACATCTGCTTCTACTACTGTTACTATTCCTACATACACTTAAATTACTACAAAAGATATTAAAATGCATATAACTTGGCTACACATAGCCCCTTTATTAAATGTATATGGGCTAAATCCTCTCAATTCTTTCTCCCTCCACCAGGATTGTCACCAGGAGACGCGGCATGAGAGAGCAGCAAGAGCTAGACAGACAAGAGCAGGCAGCTTTCACTAGACTTCATGAATCTGTGAGGGTTCACCTGAAGGAGCCACTCAAAGCAATGTTTAAGATGAAAAGAAATGCTTTTTTTGTCGTGTTGACCTTTTTGATTTTGTATTGATTTTGAAATGTTTTGGGTCAATGCTGAAATAAATTAACTGCCCCTGTGATACTTTATTAATTTTGGACAATTGGGAATTAATTAATAAAATATGCATTATAAAAACTAAAAATTCCTCTGCTGTCTTTATTTGACTGTGTTGATAAACACATTAAGATTAAGTATTCTGGTTTATGTAAAGAAAAAAATAATCTACTTGTGTCTGCCTTCTTCATCTAATGTACTACTGTACATGTACAGAAACTGCCCGTGGAGCAGAAGGGCAAACGCTAGCTTGATCTTCATTTTTAGTATGAATAGAAAAATTACAATCAAAATATGAAAGAGATAGAATAAATACTATTACAACAAATAAGTAATATGAAATAAAAGTAATAGGCTAATTATTATAACATTTAATATTTAATGTTGATCAATGGTTGTCACCTTTTGATATTAAACTTTAGGGATATATATGCATTATTTAGTTACATATGGATTCTGTAAACATAAGCTGCTTTTATGATAGGTCTTTTGCATGGGTTAACGTTTTTTTTTTTGCATGTTTGCAATACCTTTTCATGTGTAACAACAATATTGCCAAAGCATCATACAAACTACATCAGAACAATCAACATCATACATTTCATTAAACAAGTAATTAAAGCGTAAAGTAATCAAAGCCTATGTGTGTTTTTGTTAAAAATATATATATATTAAAAATTAAAATAAAATACAATAATAACTTCACTGGTCGACTTTGCAAGACAAATGCAAACAAGTCGTGGTATGATCTGTGATAAGACGTCTGATGCAGAGGTTCTTCCTCGAAATGCTTGCATTAGTGAATGATTTAATACCACTACAAGACATTCATATGCGTGACCCTCTGATGTCGGCTGATAGCCTATGTGCTGACCAAAACCAATGATAACCTGAGGATGCTACATGATGATATCCAGGTAGGATTTTCCCGAGCAGATTGTATGACCAATAATTCAACCACATTTCCACAACATAGCTTTTATTTGCACCATTTCAGTTTTTGCCTTTGTGAACACATTGGTCCAGTAGGAAAACTGAAATAATATATCATCCTCGCACTAGTTTGATTCAGGAACTGGGCCTTCAGGTGTGAACCCGCCCTAAAAGTCAGAACTGAAAACTACATATGGACCTTCCAATTAGAAAACATGTTGTAGTAGCCCTGTATCTTCAGACGCACATAAGCGTTTTGTTATGTTGTTTCTTATCAGTCCTACATCCATCAATCACTAATCTCCTTCAACCTTGCATCCCTGAATGCAGAGCCTAGAAATGCTGCAATGTAACTTGTACACAGAACTCAAATGGGCATTAAATCAGTGTGATTTAAAAGATAACAGAAATGTGCCATCTCTTTTGGAATCCTGGTCTAAGACACTGACAATTGGTTGATAATGAGTGGGATGACTTCAGTTTCTTTGCTAATATTAGATCAGCATCTGTATCTCTGTAATGAGACTTTCTATGTAGCAAAATACTGCACAAACAATGAGTAAGGAATTTACTGATTGCTATAAAACGAGATGTGTGTGATCCAACACAGAGAGTTACAGGACCTGTAGATCTCGTACTGCTTTCTTGGCTCTCTTTGATAACATCTTTTTGACTTTCACCCTCAGTCAGTGGAAAGAAGTAAGTATCTCATCTTGATTTATCTGCAACACAAGTGTTGCACATTTGCTGAGAATTGCTAGTGTCTATTTTATAATTAGAAACTGGTATTACAAACTAGTAACTGACTCTGTGTGTGTTTGGATGTGGTTTTTCAGGATGAAGTGCATTACGCTCTTTCTTATTTTGTCACTGGTCATCCCCATGGCTGAACCTAGGAGAGGTTTTGTTCGCCACTTTTACAAAACACTGTCTCATGGTAACCACTCACAGAATTTTTGCATTTTTCACATACATTTCAACAGGACATAACTGGAAATGCACAGGTGTACATACAATAACATTAATAATGACTTATGAATAAATAAATAAATGGAATTGGATATAGATGCATGTACATATGTAATATGTAATATGTAATGTGTACATATAGCTAACCTGAACTTTAATACGTTTAGGTTTAATTATTCATTATCATCATGATTTTGCTTATTTTAAACTGTATTTGATAAGATTTTTTCATTAAATATACAAACGTGTTTTGATGTTGTCAATGTTCAGAATGGGATAAACACTATGTCCAAGTTTACACAATAATTTAATGAATGTAAATAAGGTCTTAAATTGTGTTAATAATAATTCCATACAAGAGTTTTCCCTTCTGTGAGGTATAACATAATGTGAGTAATATAATTATAATTATAATAATTATAAATAGTACTATAATTATTTTAACCTGTTTTTTTTTATTTTCTCTTGTCTGTTTTATTTAGGCGGAAAGTTTATCCGTGGGTAAGTACTTGTCCTTGACAATACTTGACTTTAATAATTTCTGTGTGTTGTTATGTTCTGGAGCTAAATTCTTTCAATTCTCTCTCCACCCACCAGGACTTTCAATTATTTCAAGAAACAAGGCGTGAAAGAGCAACAAGATCTGGACAAACGTTCATTTAATCAAGAGCAGGCAGCTTTTGATTAGACCTTCTGAATCTATGATGGTCCTTCTGAAAGAGCCGCTGTACAACTTTGTTTTAGATGAAAATAAATGCTTCTTGCTTTTCAACATAAAAAAGTACCGACTCATTGCTTCAATATATTGACCGAATTGATCTTGGACATTTGGAATAAATCTGCTTTTCTGCAAATCTGATGTGATACATCAAAACATTTCTCTCTTGTTTCATTTAAGACAAAATATTAATCACTGAACTGGATGTAAATTGTGTGTTAAGGCCTTAACCCATTTAAACACCTATGAGAGATATTTAGGTAGATTTTTTCTCTCTTTAATTTGTCACAAATCTTGTTTAAGGTAGTTTTTTTTAGCATTTTGTTACTATATGCTGAAAAGGAATACTAAAATACAGCATATCAAAATTTGTAGTAATGTGTATGTAGTATTTACATTCACTTATTCAAGCAGAAAATAAAACTGTCACTTTCATATACATTTGTATCCAAACATGGTAAATAACATCCTTATTTTTAGCTTCCTGTCTACACCAAACCTTAGCCACAAAGGGTTGATAATATTAAATGTCTGCGAATTGTCCTGGGCATCTGATCTGACTACAATAAGTAAGACTTCAGATGTTTATTTTTGAACAAAATCATCAAATGTAGAGCCTAAACAGTATAGAAAAATATGTTAAAGAACAAATTATCTATATCATTCAGGTGATACATTGCTTATTCCTACTTTTTGTGTGGACTGAAGCTATACACATGAGCAGCCAGACACAAGAAACATAAGATAGGTATGTAGGAAAGGTAACATCATTTCATCAGTTTTTGGGAAAGTTACATAGAACTATAGAAATGGATATAGTGCTTCAGGAGTCTATAGTGCTTTTTTCATTGTGTGTAATTCTGCAGCTGGGGCTGTAAGGTGCCTATTACAGGCTAGCATGTACATGTTTGCAGCCTCGCAAACACAGGTGAATATTGCTTATCATTTCTTTGTTTTAATATTTTATCACATGTATGCAACTTTAAACTGCATTTGTATATTACAACTTGAGCTAGAGTTACTAATATACTCATTACTGTAGTCGAGGTATGTCAACAATAAGGGGGCCTCAGAGACCAAAGATTTGCAGCAGTTGTATCTGCCCCAGGAGCTGTAATATGATCCACGTGACTAAAACTCTATCATGTAAGCAGATCGGTTATGTATTAAAGAAATCACTGAATGTGTAATGGCCTCTATCTTTGGGGCATGCACATTCAGTCAGGGAAATACCTATGAAAATGACCTATGAAATCATGAAAATAAAACTTATATTTGTCAAACACAAGAAGCCTGAACAAGGATCTCCCATGTTTCTGATCAATGTAACTCAAGGACGAATGGTATAAACATTACATATGCATTTGGTTTCAGTAGTCAAAGGGCGAAAAAGTTTATAGATTTATAAGTCAGGACCGTGAACTGTGGCACCACCTATATAAATTTACTTTACTTTAATTCATTTTTAAACACAAAATAGACAGACCCAGGTTTCTATTCAATTAATTGAGTGGGTTAACAAAACATACCACCAAGAAGAAACATTTTAAACACAAGCCACTAGATGTCAAACAGTGATTATGTGCACACACCAAGACATGCAATACGCCCAGTCCAAAGTAGTGTGTGACATAACACCAACGCAATAAGGGTCCAAAGACAAATATAAGTATTTGGTCCCTGTTGTTTAGATATTTTTAGTTAAGTTATACTCAGGGAAATTACTTATACTTAGGGAATAGCTTGGGGAAAGTTGTCCTTCGCACTCGACCAACCCTATTTAGGAGCATTCAGAAGCCACATTAATGTGGCTGTCTGGGGACCCACTGGAGGTCTCAGGCAAGTACCCTGATCAAGGGCAATGGCAGGAAAATACCTGTGAGAAAACCGGAACACCAAGAAGAAACGCATGTAAACATCAAGCGGAAAAAGCCCCAGTTTGCCGAGGCAGGTTTTAAACTCAGGACATTATTGGTTGTCAGACGACAGTGCAGCAATGTACTGCTGAAATACTTAAAGTATTGGAACGGTAAGGCAAATTCCTTTGTTTTTGTTGTTCACTGAAGACATTTGGGTTTAAGATCAAAAGATGAGTATGAGACATGAGAGTTCAGAATTTCAGCTTTTATTTCCTGGTATTCACATCTAGATGTGTTAAACAATTTAGGACATATCACCATTTTTATCACACCACAGCATTCTTACTGATGTTTTGGGGGTTTTCTTCACAGTTCTATGATATTTCTGTCATCAACTTCTGTTGTTTTCCTTGGCCGACCTGTTTGACGCCTGTTGCTCAGGACACCAGTAGTTTCTTTCTTTTTCAGGACATTCCAAATTGTTGTACTTGCTATGCCCAATTTTTGTCCATTGGCTTTGGTCAATTTTCCTTCTTTTCTCAGGTTGACAATGGCTTGCTTTTCTCCCATAGACAGCTCTCTGGTTGTCATGTTTGTTTATCCTCTTTA